CTGGACCTACCCGGCAGCACTCCAGCTGTTCTGCCCCCTGCTCCCCGATTCAGTCGCTGGTCAGTTTTAGCAGCGGCTGAATCGGGGAATCTGGGGGCAGAGCAGCTCCAATGGTCTGGCTGCGGAGCACTTCCGGGTTCCTGATGGTGCCAGACCATCAGGAGTGCCGGATCGTCAGATGCCGGACCAATGGAGTTTTACAGTACTACAGAAAATACTATCATTGGCTTTGAATGTTGGGAAATGGGCATTAAGTAGTTTTGTACATGATACATACTTAATGGCTGTTGCCAGTACCATGTGGATGTGGAAACATGTTGTAAATAAACCCCTTAATGTAGATTGGTCACAGGTAAAATTATTGAAAAGTTTTCTCTTCCTAGGAGAATGGCCTCAGGGCGTAAAGTCTTTTGTGGGGTTGTCTTGATAATGGAAGTGCTTTATTAAAAAAACTATAGAAAGTCAACTCTGATGACCAGTGTTCCCTCTAAGCTGGGCAGCAGCACAGCTTCACAGGTGATTAATCAGCCCCACCTAGTCAGAGGCTCAGGGCTAGTGCACAGAGCTGACTGACTGTGCAGGGCTGATTAATCACCAGTGAAGCTGTGCAGCAGTGCAGCTTAAAGGAAACACTGCTGATGACCACAGCAACCTGACATCTCCTAATCAAGACTTGTGTGCTTTTGGCCTCTTGTTTGTCATGGGCAGGTGACCTATGAGTGCATGCAGTTCAAGTAGCTAACAGTCCTCAGTGATACAGAGTCTTGAGGCCAGAGTGGTCAAACTGGAGGAGCCTAGGTAGACAGAGAGGGTGGTATTTAGAGGAGACTGTTAGGAACATAGTAGAGTGTCCCTACTTTCCTGTCTGACAACCTTGTGTTGTTAAGGAGAATGAAAGTCTCAGGGTGGTAGAGCAGAGGGAAACAATCTCATATTTTGGATCCACTTTCCAGACGATGTTGTGGTATCTTCTTATACTGGATTCTGTTAAAGGCTAAAAAGCCTTTAAAATTTGGAAGTTAAATCCTACCACTGAAATCATCCTGTGTACCATATGACTGGAAGGTAACTAACACAGTGCTGATTTAAAAAAACAAACAAACCAACAAACCTCCAGAGAAGATCCTAGCAATTTCAAGCTGATGAGGCTGACTTTAGTGCCCGGAGAATTGATACAAAGTATTATAAAGAACAGAATTTTTAGACACACAGATACATATAGTTAGTATGGTGGAGAAAAGGCTTCACAGGTGATTAATCAGGAGCTGACTGACTGTGCAGGGCTTAACGGAAAAGTTTTCCGTTAAAAGCATTTGTGGAAAAGAGCGTCTAGATTGGCTCGGACGCTTTCCGTAAAAGCACTTTTTGCGGAAAGGCATCCGTGCCAATCTAGACGCGCTTTTGTGCAAAAAAGCCCTGATCGCCATTTTCGCCATCGGGGCTTTTTTGCGCAAAACAAATCTGAGCTGTCTACACTGGCCCTTTTGCCTGAACGGGAGCAGCATAGTATTTCCGCAATAAGCACTGATTTCAGACAGTAGGAAGTCAGTGTTCTTGCGGAAATTCAAGCGGCCAGTGTAGACAGCTGGCAGGTTTTTTTGCAAAAGCAGCTGCTTTTGCGGAAAATCTTGCCAGTCTAGACACAGCCAACATGTTTTTTCTAAAGAGAAGTCATGCCTCAGAAATCTATTAGAATTCTCTAAAGTGTACTTTATAGTGAACTTAGATTTTCAGGAAGCCAGAGGCTCTTAAGGAAATTAAGTAGAGATGGGATAAAAGGAAAGGTCCTTTCATGGATCAGTAACTGGTTGAAAAAAGTAAACAAAGAGAAGGAATAAAAGGTCAGCTTTCACAATGGAGAGAAATGGACTAGTAGGGTCCCACAAGGATCTGTACTGGTATCTGTGCTATTTTAGATTATCATTAAAGATATGATAAATGTGGTGAACCGTGAATTGGCGAAGTTTTCAGATGATAAAAAATTATTGAGGATAGTTAAGTCAAAAGCAAAATGAAAAGTTACAGAGGGATCTCATAAAACTATGTGATTGGACAAAAAAAACTTAAAATGAAATTCAAACTTGTAAGTGCAAAGTAATGCACATTGGAAAACATAATCCAAACTACACATATACAGTACAGTGCAAATTAGCTATTTCCATCCAAGAAACAGAACTTAGCGTCACCTTAGTGCTCTGAAAGCTTCTGCTTAATGCCTAGGAGCAACTAAAAAGCTGTAACAGTATGTTAGGAACTATTAGAACAGATAGAAAGTTTAACCAAAAATATTATAATGCCACTATTTAAATCTATGGTGTACCAAAATTGTAATACTTTGTGAAGTTCTGGTTGCCCCACCTTGAAAAGAATATAGTGGAACTGGAAGAGGTTCAGAGAAGGGCAAAAAGATGATTACGGGTATGGAATGGTGTGTGTATGGAATGGGAGACTAAAATGATTAGACCATTAAAGGAAGATATAATATAGATTTATAAAATTATGAATGATGTGGCAGAAGTGAATAGAAAAGTGTTATTTACCCCTTCACACAGTAGAAAAACTGGGGATCACCTGATTAGGTTAGTAGGCAGCAGGTTTAATACAGAAAAGGAGAAGTAGTTTTTCACATAATGCACAATTAACCTGTGGAACTCATTGTCTTAGGATATTATGGTAGCCAAAAATATAATGTGTTCATAAAACAGATGGATAAGTTCATTGAGGATAAGTCCATCAGTAGCTATTAGCCAAAATGCCCAGGGGTGCAGCCACATGTTCATGGTTACCCTAAACCTCTGATTGCCAAATGCCAGATTGTAAGACAGAGATCCATAGTAGTCTTGTAACATAGTAACACTCCTCCTGAAAGTTTGGTACAGGCCATTGCCAGAGACTGGGTAGTGGACAAGATGGACCTTGGTCTTATTCAGTAAGGAAGTTCTTATGTTAGTAGAAGCTCACACATCGTGTCAATAGAAGCTCTCTCAAAGACTGAGGCAGCTAGCTCTTCCACTACTTATGGCATGAACTGAGCATTATCCATAATGGTTAAGTTTGACTTTTAATGGAAACTTATAAAAACCATTTATTTAAAGGCTGCTTTGTACAATTTTTGCTCACTAAAGTCCTCAATTTACATTCTCTCTCTTTCAGTCTCCTAATGAAGTGTACAGCTGGAAGAGAGAGACTTCACTGGGGAGCAGGCATGCCTCTCCTTCTGATCCATTTTACTATGGAAGGCGCAGTCAAACCGGAGTTGGAAAAAAAATCAATTGTGTGACTTTATTAGCTTCTAATCAGATAGTCAGAATTTTAGCACCTGGAGACATACCTTTGAAAGAACTTTATCCAAAAGGTAAGAGATGACCCTATTGCAACTATATCAACTTGTAGATAGATGAAGACTTTATTTGAATTGAAGATGGGATACTGGGCTGGATAGAACATTGGTCTGACTCGGTATGACTGTTCCTATGGTCTATTGTATTCTTTCTGTTAGGATGATATGTAGCAGAATAAATGTAGTGACATAACACAAGATGTACATTTTATTCTGCTAATTTCACTAATTATTTAAAGTTTTTATTTTAATGGAAAACAGCTTGCTATTTCTCATAAGCACTCATTTCCCAGCTGCTTCTTTTAATACTTAATATTGTGATTTTTTTTCCTGTCCTCTATGTTCACCTTCAATGATATTTTTAAAAGTAAAAATTAGAGATCTAGATAAGATTATATGTGCCTGCAAGGTAATATTATAAATGACTGTGTGCTTCAGTTCTCTGCTGGATTGAACATTAGATCTACGTGTATATGTATGATTCTACTTCTCTTTAGTGCCCAAACAGAATACAAGCCCACTGTCACTGCAGCTAATGGACATTCTCCTTCAGCATATTTGGATGGGTGGTGTTTTTTGAGCAGAAAATTTGGAATTCTATTCTACTTATGCAGTGACATTATGTGAACATAATGTACATTGTACTTCTTAGTCATTTATTAATTGCCAACCATGAAGTCTGTGGCACAAAATTTGTACAGAGGGACCAACCAAAATGTTTGATACAAGCAAAAGTTGGATTATATCTCACTAATGTATTTATAAATTTCTAAGTCTATTAGCTATTGTTGGCTGCTGTGGAAATAGAGATAAGTGTGTGCTAGTGGATGTGGATCTGATAGCATTTTCTGCCCTCATTAAAAATAGTCTATACTTAATGTACCTTGCAATTTCAAGATTTTTAAAAGCACCATGTTTTGAAATGCTCCCCAAATATACTTCCAGTCAAATGAACAATATGCATTTTCTTCAATGATGGGTAAAAAAAGGGAGATAGAGTTTGCAGTAATGCTTGATTGGTATTTTTGTGAATTGGACTTTATCTGTGCACTGTTTTGACATCCACTACACTATACAACTGTAGTGTCCAACCAGTTCTGAAGAAGTAGTTTCAGTGGCTAATGCTATAGCAAACTAGCCACACTCAGATAGCCACATTGTTCAAGCCAACTAGCATCACTCAACCAGCCAAATAGCCAATGTGGCTAATGGCTAGCATGTTGGGCACCACAGCGATACAACATTCCTCATTTATTTTTGTAACTCCTAATTGCTGACCATTATATCAGTAATAAAATTCAATAATTGCCATATTTAGACCTACAGGTAGTATAAAAGTTTATCATTTTCTGATATATACTGTATAATGAATGTTTAAATCTAATCTGATGAATATAAATGTAATATTTTATTAATGATGCAGCTAATTTTCTTTAATAAATTTATCTATCTGCAGATATCACTCCTCCAGAAACAGCTGGATATCTGGAAGTAACGGATCTTAACTCAAAGAAACTGAAATACATCCCTATTTCCAAGTATGTGATTTCCATCAGTAAAACAGCCTCACTGTAGGAATAACAAATACAATTCGTTAAACTCTATTACTTAGAATAGATATTTGCTTTTCCTAATTTTTAATGTGAAACGGGTGCGTTTTCGGTGCACTGTTTCCTTATTACCTACTGAATTACCTAATCTTGTGAAAGTAATTTTGACTCTAATGTATAGAATTCTTCAATAGCTGTGCATGATGTACTCCTCTATTTGGAAGTTGTATTTATCCAGCTCATATCCAGGAAAAAAATGGTGTTAGCGGTTGATAGAGGTACCTTCCTCTTCTCCTTTTTCTCCCCTCTCCATTTCCTCTTGTTCCCTGTCTCACTCCTTTTTCTCCTCATCTTCCCTGCTTCTTCCTTCTCCCTTTTCATCTGTCCCTGCTCTTCTTCATTTTTCTGTCTCTTTAGGGTCTTGCATAGAGAGGAAATACAATACAGTGGAGGGAGGACCTGGGCTGTAAGTACCAGCTCCAACAGACTTCCTCTTGTGTGACTTTAGGCAAATTACTTAAGTCTGTCTCTGCCTCAGTTCTCAGTCTGTAAAATAGAATTTCTTGCCTGTCAAGGTTGTTGAATAATAATTACCTTAAAGATTGTGAGACCATATTAGTACTAGAGATGTGAAGGTGTAACCAGCGAGGGCTGCTACAACTGAATAGCCCACCTGCTCATCCTCCTTAATCAGTTAATAGGTTAAACGATATGTTTTACTGGTTAGCCAATTAAACGGGATTTCCAAGCTTTTCATTGGTGCTGAGCATATGTATATAACCAAAATCTATGCAATTTTTTGTTGATTTTTTTAAAAATCCATCTCATTCCATATGATCTTTAAGGGCATGTAAGGAATGAGGCCAGATTTTGAATGGGTTCTGCTTCCTTCCACCTGAACTTTGAGAGTACATATGGAATTGTTATTTCCTGAATTTTGAATGCTTCATTTTGCATCACTAACATTCTTTAGTGTAGCTTTTTAAAGGAATCTTCTATGAAAATGAGCAAGCTACATTTCTGTTTACATTACAGTGTAGTTATATCTAGAAGTGAGTATTCATCCATATTTCTTAGAGATTGCATAACCAAGGTTTTGAATATATTCAGCCAAAGAGCAATTCTGCAACTGGATTTTTAGTCCTTTCAGTGTATAGAGAGGGCATTTGGCAGGAAAATGCAGTGTTTTCAGGACTTCAGCACCTAAGTTAAAAGATATGAATTCATATCACTTTCCTGTCAACTCTAGTATTCCACTGGAATGAGACACATAAACTAAGTCAACAGGAGAATTTCTCCCCTCAACCCAGCACAGTGTAGACACTGCAGTAAGTAGACCTAAGCTATATCAACTCCAGCTACATTATTCACGTACCTAGAGTTGTGTAACTTAGGTCAGCTTAGTCCCGTAGTGTAAACCAGGCCAAATTAAAACAAATGAAATTTCTGTTTTGGCTCTTGCCTCCAGTTGTGGGTAGATAGCTTATATTCAGAACCTCTTTGACTCCAGCAGTGCTTAGAATCTCATTATTGAGCTGTAATAGTTGCTTTATAAGTGAGATTGAAGTTAATTTTTTTATAAGCCAAATTTTCAAACTCTGAAAACGTCCCCTTTTTTGAGGCATAAGGGATCTTACACAAAAGGGGGGTTTTGTACAAAATGGCCCCATCTACACTGCTTGTTTTTGCGCAAAAACCTCTTCCGCAATAAGCATTTGGCAGAGAATATGAAAATGACAGCACGACAAATGCTAACGAGCGCTTCATTTGCATTGTCTCTGCCGACAAAAGGCTGCAGTGTAGACATAGCCATAGAGTCAGGATAGAAATGCTCTTTTGGATTTCTGCTCAACTTCCCCATTTTCCAGGTTTTTATTTTTGTTTTTTTGTGTTGCTTGCTCATCTCTAATGAGACAGGGAGCTGACATTTACAATAAAATCCTAAGTGGGCCATAAAACAGTTTTGTGTTTCCTGTTTGGCATGGTTATTTCATCCCCTCCCCACTTATTCTTTCAAAAAGGAGAGAACTGGTCTCCTTAAAATAGATTGGAGATAGAGGTTACTGATATTCCTGTTCCAGGCTACATTTATCTTGGTTATCTTTTATTCAGCCATCAGTATTTCAAAGGCATCTTTCCACCCTATCTAGTTCCAGTATGTGATGTGCTTTGGGTAATATATTGGGACTGCCATGCTCAGTCTTGATCTCATTTTGATTATTGCTGGATCATATTCACTAGTGTATAGCCTCTGTGACCTTGTTCAAATTTCAAGGGTATTTTTAAAAATTGACACCTTGGCTACGGAAATATTCTGTATAGTGTTAATTGTGATAGAACCATATTTGGCTTTATTTTTCAGATCAGTGTCTCTCTCTCCATATACATCCTGGCTGTCAAAGATCTCAGACACGGATGTTCTCCTGGCACCATTGGGCAAAGTGGGTTTGGTTACAGTGGATATGGGAGGCAGTGTCAGGCTTTGGGAGACAGGACTTGACAGCCTACAGCGCTCTCTGCAGGACTGGAAAAACATGATTGGACAAGAAGATGGTAGACCCATGCAGGTAGGATTTGATAAATCACAGTATGAAAATGTTAAAAAAAATGTAGCCAATGAGTTGAATTTTCTAGGTGGTTTAAAAAATAAATTGTGATAAAAATATAATGAACTAGAATTAGGCCCAGACCAGCAATAAATATCAAATAGATCTTTTTGTTGAAAAATCATTTGGTTCTTTAAGAACTTACAGTAGATATTCCTGGGAGCAGGCAGCAGGTTTAAAACTAACAAAAGCATGTACTTAACACAGCGCACAGTTAACCTCTGGAACACATTGCTGGGGATGTTCTGAAGGCTGAAAGAATAACTGGATTCAAAAAATAATTAGATTAGTTTTTAGAGGATAGGTCCACCAGTGGCTACTAACCAGATGGACAGAAAACAACCCATGTTCCAAGTATCCCTAACATGCAGCTGCCAGAAGCTGGGATTGGACAGCAAGTGATGGTTCACTCGAAGTTGCCCTTTTTTCTTCATTCCCTTTGAACCATCTGGCTTTGGCCACTTTCATATTGGTCTGGCACAATATGGCTATTCTTATGTTCTGGTAGTGATACAAGATGTTATGGTTGCCTAACATTTCCTGTATAGCCTCCTGTTTTCCATTTGGATTTAACCATTTGGGCTGAAATTTGCCAAACTGTCAGTGAAAATATTTCAGGAATTTCCAAGAATGAATTTAGGAAAAATAGGTATTCAGAGAAATTATTGGAAATTTTTTTAATAGCTGTACCACCTCTATACTTTGGAAAATGGACTTGAGACTTTGCAGGAGAATGGTCCAGTTTTGAGAGTGATGTCTTTTGCTGTCTGTATGAGAGTCTAACTAGAATGGGCGAAATTGTAGAAGTCTGAAAATTGCCATCAGTGAATAGATGTGTAGAATATTACAATGTACAGTATATAAGTATAAAAAAAGTTATCTGAGTAGTGTGTGTGTAGAGGTATGTGTGCATGCACATACGCACATATGAGAGAGTTTATGAGAGAACAAGTCTGTCTGTCCATCTGTCTATCTGTTCAAGAACTCCTAAACAGTAAGAGCTAGGACCACCAAATTCGTTATGCAGCTTCCTCTTACCATAACTTAAATCAGGGTATGGGTTTAGTTGTGCCAGGACAATTGGATGTACCTGGAATGCAGTTGTTTTTCATAACACGGAAAGGAAGGGGGCTGCTAGCAAGAATAGTTATACTGTGTAATGACTGTGGTGGGGGGTGGAGGGGGAGGTGGCCAGCAAGAGGCTAGAGATGGGAACTCAACTGGGACAGCTATACACACTCACTGGGGCAGCAGGAGGCAGGGGTGAAGATAGGTTTCCTGCCCACCCCTTGGCCAGCACAGCCCCTTCCATGGCCAGCCCCAAGGAACTGCCCCCGTCCTCTGCTATGACCAGCCCCAGGGAGCCACTACTAAGTCAGCATGGCTCCTGCTGCAGCCAGCTTTGGGGAGCCGCCAGCGGGAAAGCGTGACCCCTGCCATGGCCTGCCCTGGGGAGCCGCTGCCTGGCTCGTGTGGTCCTCCCCACAGCCAGCCCCAAGGAGCCACCGCCTGGCCCGTGCAGTTCCTGCTGGCTTCTGCATCCCCCATAACCTCAGCCCCCTGCCCTGGGTCCCTCCACACCCCTCACCCTTATATTAGCACCCCCCACACATACCTCCAGCCCCCTGCTCCGAGGAACCCAACAACACCGGGTAAATCTTCTAGTGAATAATACATTTGTGCACCTCTTCACTATGGGAATATAATGGACAGAATCAGCACTATTCAACTGTGTCTCACAGTCTGTGCACTGTTAACTGTCAAAAGAGATTTTCCGATACAGTGCTTGAATCAGTAGGCCATGAGGTTCAGGAGGATTTGAGTTCTATCCCAGCTTTTGCTATAAATTTCCAAGTGGCCATGCTATTCAGTATATCAGCCTATGTAGCCCCTGTGGCCATAAATATGTTATTCCTTTTGTGTCTCTTTATACAAAAAGTAATATGTAAATATATTTTTCAGATTTTTTTCTGTATAACCTTTTTTCCAGAACTTTCAAATGTGACAGTTGATTCAATTTTTTCTAAATTAAATCTTTCCGCATTATTTTCAAGGGATCCAGTAACCCAAAGCACAAGTTGGATTTAGTAGGCAGAAAATATATTTCAGCTTTCCCAATCCACAAGATGTTCTGCATATATAGCAATTTGTGTAACCACTGACATGTTCTTGTTACTGAAGCTCAGCAAATGCCTTTCATAAAAATCACGAGAAAACCCCCCTCTTCTAGTAGTGCATTTGTGTTGGTATTTATTGTTTTACCCATGCCAGACATTCTCTTTGTTAATAAAGTAGTGCTAGTGCCATCTAATGGCCAAACCACAAGATGTTCTGCATATATAGCAATTTGTGTAACCACTGACATGTTCTTGTTACTGAAGCTCAGCAAATGCCTTTCATAAAAATCACGAGAAAACCCCCCTCTTCTAGTAGTGCATTTGTGTTGGTATTTATTGTTTTACCCATGCCAGACATTCTCTTTGTTAATAAAGTAGTGCTAGTGCCATCTAATGGCCAAATGTGGTCAGTTTAGACCAGAGCATTTTGGTTGATGTGGTAATAAGACAATATAAAAAATGTTCTTATCTTGGAAGAACAGTGTCAGGGTTACTGGCTTTAATTAGCTTTCATGGGCACAACCCACTTCTTCAGATGACCGGAGTGTTGGAAGTCCAGATCCAAGAATAAATAAGGGAAGGTGGGAGGGGCAAATTAATGGTTCTTATCAGCCTCTTTTAACTATTTAGACTTTAAGGTGCTACTAGACCAAATATGGGTTGCTATTACATTTCAAAGGGGTTGCCAAGTGTCTCCCCAGTTGGCTCTGGCCCCCAACCATTCACACATTTGAAAAGGTCCCCACTGGTCAGCTCCACAGCTGGCTTAGTCTTAAGGAGCCATTCACCTGAAGTGGTTCTTAACTTAATCGTAATAGAGATGTATAGCCTTGTTAGTCTGGTCTTGCTGAAACAAAAGACAGGACCATGTAGCACTTTAAAGACTAACTAATAAACCATCTTGTTAGTCCCCCCCCCCCCCCCCCCCTTTCCCTTATTTATTCTTCCAACACTCTGGTCATCTGAAGAAGTGGGCTGTGCCCACGAAAGCTCATGATACCATCTACGTGTTTTGATAGTCTTTAAGGTGTTACTAGACTGTTTGTTGGTTTTTTTAAGTTTTTCCTTTTACAGAGTAACTCGGCTACCCCTCTGTGACTTTAATTAGTTTGTTCTCTAGCTCTCTTTTGATTCATTCTCATAGAATTACGATAATTTCAGCCCTAGTTGACTAACTCAGCTAAATATTTAAAAAACCGAAACTGTACTTTGTGCTTGCAAAGTATACTTTGTCTGAAAATGTGAAAGCACATCACAGCATTGGGTACTGATGATTACAGAAAGGCTCCTGGATTTTCCAAAGGTCACAGAGTAACTCAGTAGCAAATTAGTCATAGCACTTATTTCTCTTGACACCAAAAACTGCCAGACACATTTCCACTTTTTGGTTAGCTACAGGTTAGAAATAGAAAAATCCTGTTAGCACATCTGGCAGGGGGTGGGACGGAGGCCAGGGGCTGGGCCCAGGTCTGGGTGCTAGGATTGCCAGGTGTCTGGTATTTTCGCCTCCTGGCCAGGAAGAAAAATCAGAAAATACTGGACATTTTAGGTGTATGATATTTTCTGAATTTTTTTTACTGGACAGGAGGCTAAAATACCGGACTGTCTGGGTCAATACCGGACATCTGGCAACCGTATTTGTAGCTGTGCAGCTAAGTGATCCATTGTGAAATGCAACCAAATCTCATAGTCTCAATCTGGACAATACCACTATGAATACTTGTCTATTAGAGTCAAGACAGTTTCTACGCTCTGGGTACAACGAGTGATTGTAAAAATGAGCTGATCTATCCCAAACCAGAGCCCTTTCCTTTAAAAACAGTGATAGTTGGAGAGTATAGTTGTGATTTTTTAAAATTTGTGTCCGTGCATAACCCATTATGGGCGTACATGCATCTCATGCACATGAGATCTTAGTTTTTTAAAAAACAGTTTGGCTGTGTCTAGACTGGCAAGTTTTTCCGCAAAATCATCTAATTCACTGGCCGCTTGAATTTCCGCAAAAGCACTGACGATCTCATGTAAGATTGTCAGTGCTTTTGCGGAAATACTATGCTGCTCCCGTTCGGGCAAAAGTCTTTTTCCGAAAAAGCTTTTGCACAAAAGGGCCAGTGTAGACAGCAGAGAGTTGCTTTCTGCAAAAAAAACCCAATCGCGAATATGGCGATCGGGGCTTTTTTGCAGAAAAGCGCGTCTAGATTGGCCACGGACGCTTTTCCGCAAAAAGTGCTCTTGCGGAAAAGCATCCTGCCAATCTAGATGCGCTTTTCCGAAAATGCTTTTAACGGAAAACTTTTCTGTTAAAAGCATTTCCGGAAAATCATGCCAGTCTAGATGTAGTCTTTCTGTCAGAGGCCATAAAGCAGGGGTGGGAAATCTAGGCACCGGGGGTTAGATGCGACCCTTGAATGCATGGATCTGGCCCCCAAGTCTCGGCCCACCCCCAGCATTGGGGTGCTGTGCTGGTGCTCCAGTACCCCTGCTGCACCCTAGTCTCTGGTGTGCAAGGGGAATGTGGGGAATGTCTCCTTCTCAATCAGGGGCCACAAAGAGTGGGATTTTTCCACTTTTCACTTGTGTGCAGCCCTTGACTGATTTTTTTTCTGTGGGTCAGTGGCCCCCAACCCAAAAAAGGTTCCCCACCCTTGCTATAAAGGATAGAGCAGCTATAACCCTCCTTTGGTTCCCTCATACCACTCATGGCAGAGAGGCCAAACCAGGTAAAGGACCAAACCACCACTACTCTAGTCTCTGTAGAGGCATGAAACCTTTTGTCATCCAACTTTATGAAGAAATCTTTATCTTCACACATCAGATTGGACATTACAGAAGACTATTTGTCAT